GCTTGGAGCAGGGAGCAAGCTAAAATCCTATATATAGTCCCTGCTTTCTACATCCTAAATTACCAAATTGCAACTACATAATCCTTAATCCTCAAAAGTATTTGAAATATTTCCAAGCCATGAATAGGCACAAAAGGTCCTGGAAAGATTAAGCTTCTCTCCCAAGCTAGCAAAATTTCCAAGCTTTTCGATTACTGCCTTCTTCCACCCTCTACAGCTCATTGCAACCAACCTACATTGACACACAGATTTAGAGCAAACAAAGGATAAATGCAAGAGGTGTCGTAAGAGGAAGCCAACATTCATAGAACAATGTGCTTCAGTGAACATAAAGGCTGTGGGTTGTGGAGAATGACCAAGCACTGGATCCACTCCTGTACTCATTTCAGACCTTAGAAGAGTTGCTTTTTCTGAACCACAGTTTAGAATCATCCACAACCAGTACTCAAACTGCCCAAGGGATTCTGGGAAATGGATTACAAAAAGGTTAAAGTGACAAGGTCGGACTAATTCACAATATTATTTAATACGTTTTTACGTTTTGTCCTTCCAAAAAAAATAATAATCCTTCATCTGCTATCTCCTGCACACTTTATTCTCACAATAATCTTATCAGGTAGTTGCAGAAAAATTACAGACTGAAACTGCCTTCTCTGTGTGCAACAGTGTTCGGCTATTCTGAAGAATGGATGGGAGTCATGCCAATCTTAATTTGGAAAGGGTATTCTCTGGGTTTTGTCTTCAATTTGTATTCACAGTTCCAACGTGCAATATCAGAATTGGCCATTAGAGGGAATGAGAGTGTGTCTTCCTGCATCATCCAAAACCTGCTGGTAAGCACCATAACATGTAGTAATAATCTAGCACTAGGCTTCTTTAGACCAGAGCTTCCAAAAGTTATCTTCTGAGACGCCCACATTGCCTCACCAAGAATGGCCACTTTGCCAAGGTCTGGAAACTTTCCCACCTTTTGTTAACTTTCCCAAACTCTGGTTAGGATACACTACTAGATCCTGATTTAGCACTATTAGGACGAGCTGCAATAAGCCTCAGCCTCTCATGCTCACCCCTCTTCCCTCTTTAGAGCAGCCAAAAATCTGAATTTGATAGCTTTTGCTTCAGTTTTAGATCAATTGCAACTTGCTCTGCTGTCCAACATAAGATAACATGGTTAAGTTTAACTATGATTAGTTGAAACAAATGAATTTCAATCTATAGTTTATTAATCTGGCCTCTGTTTACTGTTGTTCAGATTCTAAATTGTGGCTACTCTTACATGAAAAAACACCTTGTCTGATCTCATCTTTGCAATGGTACTGGTGAAGGGACTAGGAAACATATGAATTCACAGCTTGTAGCAGCCTACCTAAATGATATATATCACATATATATATAATATATCACATATATATATAATAGGTATATAATATATACCTTATATATTATAATCCCCTCTCTGCTATTTTAACCTTCTGATAGAGTTGGACCTAATACCTATTATATATATATATTTGTGATATATATCATTTTTGTGATATATATCACAATGAGGGATTGTTTACTGAAAAAGCATCTTACATTCCCCTCTAGGGGAACATTTAAAAATGTTTTTAATATTTAAATTAAAATGTTAATATTTTTAATTTCTAAATTTAAAAAAATTATTTTGAACAGTTTTTTTAACATTGGAAAATGGGGGGGAGACAAGGATGCCGGGGCCCTTCTGAATTGAAAAAAAATATACCCCCATAATGCAAACAGCCATGCTGAACCATCTGCAAGTCTGTCGCAATTTTTTTTTTAAAAAAAAGCTTTCTAAACCACCAACACATACTGTTAGGAAGATATGCCTTAAACATTTTGATAGGTTGTCTGCCAAACCCACAAGAATTTAGCCCATGGCCTTCTGAGGGCTGGAGTAGGGGAAAAATGAAACTCCCTCTCCACCCACCTCCAATTCTAGCCAGCAAAGACAAAACATATGACCTGGCTTTGCATTAAGCCCGAGAATTGTTCCAGTGTGCCAGATCTACCAGTAACAGCTTTCATTAAAATATAATAATCTTCAAGGCGCCACATGTTTTTCCTCTTGTCTTGTTTTGCTTCTTTGGATTTTGCCTGATAAGCTTCCTAAGGGTTCTTTGCCTAGCCCTTTAACATGGAAATCCCCAAAATGGAGCCTAAGACCTTCTCTCTACAAAGCAGGTATTCTACGACTCATCTGTTAGGACTAAAAAAGAAACAGGCTAAGAATACTGGAAGCAAAAGAGAGCTTGGGAAAGTTACTTACTAACTTAATCCGTATTGGAATTAAGTTCATACGTCGAAAAGTTCGCAAGTCGAGTCAAACTTTTCCATAGGAATGCATTGAAAACCATTTAATCTGTATCTGCTGTTTTCCGTTCGTATGTCGAGGCACTGTTCGTAGCTAGAGGCATTAGTTCTCATAGGAACTAATGCAAAACCGATTAATCTGTACTCTACAACTAGGGGGAGAATTTTTCTTCTTCTTTTGACCTAAGGTGAACTTAGGTCAAAAAAGGGCAGGAAAGGGTTTTTGTTTTTGTTTTGTTTTTTTCAGTTCGCAAGTCGAGGCTCCGTTCACAAGTCGAAGCAATTTTTGTGAACGGAGCCGTTCGTAACTCGAATCGTTCGCAAGCAGGGACATTCGCAAGTCGAGGTACCATTGTACTTCTCATGATGGGGACACTGGGAGCTATAGTCCATAAACTAATCTTTCTAATTCCGCAAACTGTTAAAACTTCTGTTGGTTGGAAGAGCCAATTGCTCCTCTTCTTTCAGACAGATCATGTGGCCACCAATGACCGAGGCAGACATTTAGGGCTCAAATCGTGTCTTCTGTTATCATCACCACCATCTTAAAACTGCAGAGCTAGAAGGGACCCTATGGATAATTCTTGAGCAGGAACTCTCATCATCCTCGCTACTGCCTTTCTGACAAAGTCTTATGCAACCACTCAGCGAGAGCTAATGGATGAGTCCAGCAACCTCTGGACAGCGACACATTCCTCCATCTTTGCTATGAGGTAGAAAATCCTTCTCTTGTTCTGTAAATAATGTCTGTTATTAGGAGCACAAGAGGCTGCCCTATCCCCAAGTCCTATCTCCCATCCAAGTGCTCGCCAGGATCCACCTTGCTTCCCTTCCAGAAATCGCCCAAGATTTGGTGCAATCAGGTTGGTGTGATATTGGCTGAAACCCAATCGAAAAATTATGGCCACATATCTCCAACGCTGTAAATCTTAGCTGTGAATTGCTGTAGTTTAAGAAGTCAGAGGAAGTATTTATCCTCATTATGGCAGCAAACATCTGCTGGATAGGTTGGAGATTTAGGTCTCTGGCTTTGCAGCCATAGCTTCCAAGTTCAATCCCCCACTGTGCCTCCTTGAGAAGGGCTGGACATAATGATCCATTGGGTCCCCTCCACTTCTGCAGTTCTAAGATTCTAAGAACTTCTTAACTTGCAGGAATTCACAGCTAAGATTTACAGCAACTGAGTTATTCTAGTAGGCATAATGAACAGGATTCCAGCCATAATATTTGTTATTCCTATGTTTCTGAAGAGTCATGCTGCACTGCTTCATCACAGTGTAGAGCTGATCCTGGGTTCTCCAAGGCTGCACCAACAGAGGCTAAGCTTCGGAAGGCTTTCAGTTCAGCCCCGATGGTGGGCTGTAGGGTGGTGATCTAAGGATCAGTCCAAATGAGTACAGAGTGTATCACCACCAGAAGGATGACCGACTGCTGATGCATGGTATAGCTACCATGCATGGAAAAGTTGCAACCTGCACCAGCGGACAGACTATTAATTCAATCACAAACGGTCTACCTATTCAAAACATATTACAGTATTGTTGCTATTGTCAGTGTTGCTATTCTACATCATTAGTTTATTATTATAATAGCACACCAAATGTCAGCTGGATTTAGTTCCTTGAATATCAGGTCAGTCTCAAGAATCTAGGATTATCACAGGCATTTCTTTAAGATATGTGCTGTTACAAGTAAGATAACCTGCTTTTGCCATAATCACTCAATCTCAATTTGTAAGTCTCTGCATTTGACAATCTTTCCAAATCCTTTCTCTTCGATTCTAGCACTTACCCACCCACCAAGGTATTGCCTCCCTTCAACAACTATCAAATCAAGTGTGTTTTGAGCAAAAGATTTATCAGTTTCAATCCAGAAGCCCCGCACTTGACAGTCTTTCCAAATCCTTTCTCTTCGATTCTAGCACTTACCCACCCACCAAGGTATTGCCTCCCTTCAACAACTATCAAATCAAGTGTGTTTTGAGCAAGAGGCTTATCAGTTTCAATCCAGAAGCCCCATTATATTTTGACTTCTCCATTTCCAATAACATTTTCAATATTATAGTCCCACCAATTTTTGGTGACTAGTATATTAGATCTGGTATATATTTTACAGATATTCCTATGTTCCATTGCTGCAACTTTATTATGCCTTTCCAAATAATCTACGGAGTCTTCTTGCAACTACAGGTAAGGTGCTCACTGATGCTGATGCTTCTTTACACCACCAACATACGATTTCTCAATACAGGTTTTAATTGCATTTGCTTGCTCTTGAGCAGTAAGGATAAGCCCTTCAGTTTCCTTCTTCAACACCCCTTTTCTCAACCATTGCTAAGTCTTTGCACTTTCAGCTTTTTGGTCTTTGCACTGTTGGCTTTTCAGTTTTTAAGGTAATGGAATGCTTTATTCTGTCATTGTTCTTGTCACTCAGTTAACTCCTCTTTTTGAAAGGTGATTGCTACAACGATTACTACTATTGCAGGGTGATGATGTTGCTATACTAATACCACTGCATTTCAAGGCTTGCTCCCATTTGGAAAGGAAAACAAGTCTGATGGATTTTATTCAGAGAGGGTTACATACCTGGAGCATTAACTCACAGTCGTCTCTGCCAACAAATATCATCTCCCGAGGGAGCCGGTGGCGAATGCCTGTACTGCTCACTAGGAACCATGATGTCACACTCATGTTGGTGTCTGGCACTTCAATATTTCACCATCCTAAACAAAAGGGGAAAAAAGAAACATCCATTATACCGTGTTTCCCTGAAAATAATTTTGGCTCCAAAAACACATTAGGGCTTATTTTCAGGGGATGTTTTATTTTACAATCATGTCATCTTCTTCTAGTTGCTGGACAATGCTGCACAATGGTGGGGAGCGGAGTTTCACTTAACTGGGGCTTATTTTGGGGGTAGGGCTTATATTACAAGCATCCTGAAAAATCATACTAGGGCTTAGTTACGTTTTATTTTCGGGGAAACAGAGTAGATAAGCTAGAGATTCCCAATGTGGTGTCATGGACAGAGTGACAAACTAGGATTTTGGAGAACAGGGTTCGAATCCCTGCTCAGCTATGGAAACTGATTGGGAAAGTAGAACTGGTGAAACCATTCCTTAAAAACCTCACTTACAGTGGACCCTCTACTTAAGGAATTAATCTGTATTGGAATGGTGGCTGCAAGTCGAAAAGTCTGTAAGTCGAATCTCTATTGACCTACAATGCACTGAAAACCGATTAATCCCATAACCAGTGGTTTTTATTCTATTTTTATTCCATTTTGGTTTTTTTCTGGTCTGTAAGTCGATTCCCTGGCTGCAAGTCGAATCTAAATTTTGCAGCCAGAGAAGTCTGTAACTCGAAAAGTCTGTAAGTCGAGCCATCTGTAAGTCGAGAGTCCACTGTACCTTGAAAACCCTATTAGGGTCACTTTAAGTCATTTCCAACTTGATGGCACATCACACTCACTCACTCAGCCACTGACTCACACACAGAGAGAGAGAGAGAGAGAGAGAGAGGCACACAGACAACAAAACCAAAATAGCAATAAGCCACATTAACTGATCCAATAATGCTGGGGAAAGCTGAAGGAAGTGGGAGAAGAGAAAGGCTGAATATGAGATAGATTGAGTCAATAAAGGAAGCCATGGCCTTGGCCTCTGAGAGGCCGCTAATATATGGGACTGCCAAAAGCTGAAATCAAACTAACACAAAAACAAACTTATCCAAAATGATAATAAACTGATCCAAACATATGAAGCTGCCTTATAAAAATTTGCCCATTATTATTTACTAATTATTTGTTCATTATTGTCTACGCTGACTAGCCAGATTTCACACCACAGAGGTCTCTTTCCCACACTCATGCAGATGCTGGGAAGTATAGTCCAAAAAAAATAACCTTTTCAAGGTCCGGTTTTCCCAGAGTTCAGAGACGTTTATATCTGGACTTCAGTTCCCAGAAATGTACTGGCAACACAAGCTGGTTGAGAGATGTGGAGACTTGTCGTTCTGAAAGTAACTTTTTCAAGTTTTGCTCTACCAGTGAATGAAAGGTGCATTCAGTTAACAGCCTCTCTGATTTATATTTTAAAAAGAAGGAAACAGAGTCAACATTGCTGCCTAAGCCTAATGATAGCAAGTGAAGCTTAACAGGAGTCAAAGCACTGTAGAAACACGAAAAGCAGAGGAAGATGTCATGTATTTCTATTTTCATTCATTCATTCATTCATTCATTTATTCATTCATTTATATCCCACCCATCTGGTCTGGTCGACCACTCTGGGCGGCTTCCAATAAGGTATATACGATAAAACATGAGAATTTTACAAACAGTTCATAACACATACAATAATAAAACAAATAATAAATGAAAGAAAAAATAAAGAATTAAATATTGACAGGAGGGAAGGCCTGAACATACAACCATGTTTTTAGTTGACTCTTAAAAGTGCCCAGCGTAGGGGCCACACGAATAACCGGAGGAAGGTTATTCCAGAGGCGAGGAGCCACCGCCGAGAAGGCCCGGTTTCGTCTCCTTTCCTTCCGGGCCTCCCTCGGCTCGTGCGGGTGATCCGAGTAGATCTAGGTGGGAGCAGGCGTTCTGCCAAGTATCGGGGTCCTAAACCATTTAGGGCCTTATATGTAAGCATTAACACTTTGAAGTCAATGCGGAAACGGATGGGCAACCAGTGCAGCATGGCCAGAGTAGGAGAGATACGTTGATATTTTCTCACTCCAGTAAGGAGTCTGGCCGCCGCATTCTGCACACCTGATGTTTCCGCATCAGCTTCAAAGGGAGCCCCACGTAGAGCGTGTTACAGTAGTTTAATCTAGAGATTACAAGCGCATGTACTAAGGTAGTGAGCGCCTCCGTGTCTAGGTAAGGTTGCAGCCGGGCAATCTGCCAAAGGTGGAAAAAGGCGGTGTGGACTACCGACGCCACCTGCATTTCCGTGGTAAGCATCAGGTCCAGGTGTACCCCTAGGCTGCGGACCCCACTCTTCGCGGCCAGGGCCACCCCCCCCAAAACATGAGGGAGTTTCCCAAGCCACCATTCTATGCACAGTGCACAGATAGGCATTGCTTTCTCACCCACACAGATAACAGAGGTCTTGTCATAGTCAGATTCTTAGCAGACCAGATCCCATATAAGGAGAATTCTAAGACAACCAAAATAGAATTTGTATATTGTTTGTTTGTTTGTCAGTTTAACAGCTGTATCCCACATTTCCTCCAATGAGCTCAAGTACCCAAACATGGGTCTCTCCTTCCCAACAACCAGCGAGGAAGGTTAGGCTGAGAAATTGTGACTCACACAACCTTGCCCAATGGACTTTGAGGCTGTGGTGAAATTTGAATCCCCTGAATCCAGATCCCACGCTATACCATGTTGCCCTGGTTACTGTCAGCACTTCACCTAAGAGAATCACCCCACGCTTTCAATAGGCACCAGTAGCATCTTTTTGTATTTTTATACTCCCAAGGCCATTTATGAAACAGAACAAAGCTCAAAATTAAAAGCTTTAAAACAATGCTGGAGGCATTCAAGAGAAAATTGGACAACCATCTGTCAGATCTGCCTTGATTTCGATTCCTAGCTTGAGCAGAGGGTTGGGCTTGATGGCCTTTTAGGCCCCTTCCAATTCATCTGATTCTATTATTCTATAAAGAGGAGTCTAATTAAAACCCGCAGCCTTGGATATGTTACTTTTTAAAACTAAAACTGCGAGAGTGCTGACTGGAGAATTCCTGGAGTAGTAATCCAAAAAACTATTTTTCCAAACACTGTTTAAAAAAAGAATTCCACAGAAAAGCTTCTCCTCTAATGTTCCAGCCAAAGGGCTTTCTTTGATGGCAGAACATATAAGGAGGCCTCCAAAGATATTCTCAACATATGGGAAAGTTCATTTGAGTAATAGTGGTCTTTGAAATATCCTGGACTTAAGCCCCAATACATCCTTTTTAGCTCAGTTTCCCATGTTATTTGCATGCCTGTGATTAGTGGTTCCTACAAGGAATGGGGAAATCTAGGCTCAGCCATTTTTAAGGCATGTACCTCATTAAGTGACTTATAGTGTTCAATGTCCCTTAGCCCAGAGGCAGAAACCTTTGACTCTATGGAACTTTTGAACTCCAAATCTCATAATCCTTTACCATGCACCCTGCTTGGTATAGCTGATGGGATTTGTAGCCCAAAATACCAAGTCCCCATTATTTACTTGCATGCAATATTTTAGATATTGCTTTTAATTTAAAATTTTCATTTTTTTACTACTTAAAACACAATATTCTAAATTATAAATAATTCAGTCCTAAATAACACAATATTGTTAATGTCCAATAAAATGAATGGGTAAAAAATGCACTAGCAAATGTTTAAAAAATGCAATTCCTTAAAAGCAGGGCTAAACAACATCTTTAACAGTCAGGGAAACACCCGGGTGACCAGCTAATTCTTTGACTGACAATGCTGGCAAGTCATTGAATTTCAATATGGTGGCCACTCCACATGGCCACCTGAAGGAGTTTCCACTTTGTGGGAAGCACATAGCTTCTCAATCTTCATTGCAGTTTCCATCTTGTTCCAAGTCCCACATATGAAGAGAAAAAGCTCCTCCTTGTGTCTTGGCTCTCCATGCAAGCAAACCCTCAAGTTTCCAGGGTTCCTGCTCACGAGGAGAGTCTAGACACAAATAGGGCCCCTTCCTCTTCAGATTTTTTTTTCTGTGTAAAAATCAGCAAAAGAGTTGAGTGGAGTCAACACTCCCCTCCGTGCACATGTGGTATTCCACAACTCTGAATCGGGCTGCCGAGGGGCCACCACAGAGAAGGCCCTCTTTCACACCAAACAAGTTAACAGAGTGACTGGAGGCTCCCCCCTCCAGTTTTGAAAACATGAAGACAGGGAACATCTAAATCGGAAAACACAGTTTCTTGGACAGCTTGAAATGTATAGGACCTTACAAGCCAAAATTGACACCCTGAACACGGTTCCTACCCTGCCTTGGCCCAAACCTGCTCTCAGGCTTGTTATAGATGTAAAGTTCATGAAGGAGTTCAGGACTAATTGTGTAACAAATAACCACACCTCTTTGTGTTGGGCTAGGAGGGGGATTAAGAAAGTGACAGGGACAACAACTTTCCTATTCTCTCCTTTAAATCTCTATGTGGGGAAGGAAAAAGCTAACATATCAGGAGAATTAACACATTAAGGACACCCATTTAAAAAGCTGGCAGAAAGAAAAGACTCTAGGTACAGAATAATGCACTTGTTAATGTGTTCCCTTCAGACCTTAAAAGAATTCAAAACAACTTTTTCTCATGCCTCACTAACTTCCTTCTTTGCAATCTATAGCCAGAAATAAGCAGATAAGTATTCTCCTTTGCAGATATAGCTGTGTTTAAAAGGTGCTGCTGAGCCTGCTGGCTAGCATTTACCTCAAAGAGTTCCCAAACCCTGATTTACAAAAGTGTTTTAGAAGCGTCCATATAAGTCTTTGTTTGTTACATATTGATTCCTGACATTCTCCTGATAAGCTCACAGTAGCATGCATGTTCTTCCCCTCACATTACTCTCACAACAGCCCTGTGGGGCAGCTACAAGGCTGACAGACTGTGACTGGTTCAAAATCACTCAGTAAACCCAATCCCATAGAAGGATTTGGACGTCAGCCTTCTCCGTTCTGACACTCTAACCACTCCATCATACTGAG